GCGGCTGTATGTGGACGTGTGTCTCAATGTGGGTGCAGTGCTTGCGTGCGTCTTGTGTGTTATCTAGGTCGGAGGTTGGGGGGTGAGATTGCAGTGGAACGGAGACCCCCAACTGGGAATTCGTTTCGGTTCGTTCGTGTCGTGCGTGCGGGCGAGGCGAAAATGCGTGGGCGCGCGAGAAGAATGAACCCGCCGTTGCTGGGGCGAAGTCAAGACAGATGATTCTCCCCCTCCCTCCCGCCCGTCCGGCGGTGGCTCGCGGTGTCCCGCGGTGTCCCGTGGTGTCCCGTGGTGTCCCGTGGTGTCCGCCGTTGCTAGGGCGAAGTCAAGGCAAATGATCCTCCCCCGCCTGCCCGTCCGTCCGTCCGTCCGTCCGTCCGGCAGTGGCTCGCGGTGTCCCGCGGTGTCCCGTGGTGTCCCGTGGTGTCCCCTGGTGTCCCGTGGTGTCCCTAAAAGTGAGATCGATAGTGAGATCGATAGTGAGGTCGACAGGTGTCCCGTGGTGTCCCGTGGTGTCCCATGGTGTCCCGTTGAGTGAGATCGATAGTGAGATCGATAGTGAGATCGATGTGGTGTTCCGAGGTGTCCCGTGGTGTCCCGTGGTGTCCAGTGGTGTCCTGTGGTATCCCGTTGAGTGAGATCGATAGTGAGATCGATAGTGAGACCGATAGTGAGATCGAGAGTTGTCCCGCGGTGTCCCGTGGTGTCCCGTGGTGGCCCGTGGTGTCCCGTGGTGTCTTGTTGAGTTAGATTGATGGTGATATCGATAGTGAGATCGACATGCGTCCCGTGGTGTCCCGTGGTGTCCCGTGGTGTCCCGTGGTGTGAGATCGATCGTGAGATCGATTGAGTCAGATGTTGGTTCCCCCCCCTCTCCCCCCCCACAACCGCCTTATCACGCGAAGGGTGGTCGTATAGGGATGTTGATGTGTGTGTGTGTGTGCGTGTGTGCGTGTGTGTCGTGTGTTGTGCGCGCGGCTGTATGGTGTGTGTGCGCGGCTGTATGTGCGTCTATGTCTGATGTGTGTGCGCGTGCGGGTGGAGGTGAGGAGGAGAGGGTGTGACTGAGAAGCGCGGGTGACGCGGGTGGGAAGAAAATCATAACCCCACATAGCATGTGGGGAAATATGGGAAGATATGGGCAATCCTGGGATTTGTGTCTGTCTGTTTGTGTGCCCCCTTCAGTTTTGGATCGCCGCTCACCCGGTCCCGGGCGGATGCCGCTCCTGCCCAGAGACCTGCAGGCCCCGCGGCGCTCACCAGTCCGAGGCCAGGGGCCAGCCCAGCGGCGAGGTCGCCGGCCCGCGACGCCCTGCCCCCGCCGCCCGCTGCTCTCGGCCTCCTGCCGCGCCCTCCACCGGCAGCGTCGGGGATCCCCCTGCTGAGGGGGAAGCGGAGGAGGAGTGAGGGCCTCGCTCCTCCGCCCGGCCACCGCGGCCAGGTCCCGACCGCCTCCCGGCAGCGCCGCCGCCTCGGCGGGCAGTCCGCCCCCCAAGCACAGGGCCGTCGCCGGCCCCGCGGCGGGCACGCCAGCGCTGGCGCCGTCAGCAGCAGCACTGGATCCAGCGGCACGGTCTCGCCGGTTGCGGCCCTGCTCGAGCCCAGCTGCCCCGTCGTCGGCCACGCGTGCGCCCTCCTGTTGCGACTGGGCCAGCAGGCAGTCTGCGGATGCAGACGACGTCGGTCCCGACTCAGTGAGGAGGGGTGAGCGGAGGAGGAGGAGGGGGAGGAGGAGGAGGAGGAGGAGGAGGAGGAGGAGGGGGAGGAGGGGGAGGAGGAGGAGGAGGAGGAGGGAGGAGGGAGAGGAGGAGGAGGAGGAGGAGGAGGCGGAGGAGGAGGAGGAGGCGGAGGAGGAGGAGGAAGAGGAGGAATAGGAGGAGGAGGAGGAGCGCAGCCCCGTCCTCCTCCTCCTCCCACTCCTTCACGGTATCTCGGTTCGGTCTCTTCGTCTGCTCAGCCCCTCCCTCCGTGCTCCGCGGCGCCGCCGCAGGGGAGGGTGGCGGCCCCTCCCGCGCAGGCCGGGAGCAGCGACGCTGCCTCCTCGCAGAATCGCCAGCCCTCCCGCGACCTTTGCCGACCTCACGGCTGGCCCAAGCCAACGCGCCGAGCTTTCGGCCCTCCTCCCTCCGCCGCCCGCCATTCTCCGCTCGTCTCCCTCTGCTGCGTCCGCTGCAGTAATCCGCTCCCTGAGCGTTTGCCGTTCTTGCGCCCTCGATGTCGCTTGTAGCCGTGTGGGCCCCTTTTCCCAGGTTGTCGGCCTCGTCGCTCATCCTCCTTTCCTCCCAGCCATCCACGTCCAGGCTGCATATGATGCGGCTCCCCCCCACGCGGCCGGCGCGCGCGGGGCACCGTGCGCGGCGACCCCTCCTTCGCCTGGCGCTGCCTGCGCCCACCACTTCCGCCCTGCCTGGTTCTCGGGCCTGCCCCCCCCCCAGCACGCGCGGGCGCTGCCCTCGTCCGTACTCGGGTGCCTCGTTGTGCCCCGCCGGCCTCGCCACTCGGGGAGTCGCTTTTTGCTTTCTTGTTCCCGCTCGCGCTGGGTCGCTCCCTGGCGCTGCTCCGCGCCCGCTTCCCCGCCTACTGGCACCCCACCTGGGGGTCTTTTTTGGGGCCGGGGGCGTCTCGCAGTCTCGCGGGACCTCGGCACCCTCGCCCCTGGGGTTCCCGCCCCTTCCTCGTCGCCCGCCTGCGCTCCCCTGGGGCTGCTCCGCCCAGTCTTGGCGTCCCCGGCGGGTGGGTCTGGCATGCGCCGCCTCGGGTTGCCTTGCAGGCCATCCGCGACTTCGGCACCAAAAGGCGCTTTTCCTCCGTACCCAGCCTCTCCCCCGCTGGGCACTCGCTGGTCGTGCCCCCCCCTGCGCCTCCCCGGCTTTGCCTGCTTTTCAGGCCGACCCCTCTCCGGGAGGTGGTCCCGCGCTGGCCGCCGCCCCCGGGCTGCCTCGCAGGTCACTCGTGACCTCGGCTCCCCTGGCTGCCTCGCTGTCACTGCTTTCGCCTCCAGCTCGTGTTGGGCCTGCCCCCCCGTGGGCGCTTGCCTCGGGCGGCCGCCCTGCCTTGCCTACCCCCCAGCCGCCGCCTCGCTGCCGCTGGTCCCCCGCTCCCGGCCCCCCCCCCGCCGCCGCCTGGCCGCTCTGAGCGGGCCCGGCGTCCTTCTCCCTCCTGCCCGCGCTGGGCGTCCTCCCTCTCTCCGCCGTGCATGGCTGCCCAATTCACGTTCTGTGCATCCCACTGACGCTCCATCGCCAGCGCAGTGACTCTGCCTAGCCGCCGACGTAAAGTGTGTGTGTGTGTAAGTGTAAGTGTAAGTGTAAGTGTAAGTGTAAGTGTAAGTGTAAGTGTAAGTGTAAGTGTAAGTGTAAGTGTAAGTGTAAGTGTAAGTGTAAGTGTAAGTGTAAGTGTAAGTGTAAGTGTAAGTGTAAGTGTGTGTGTAAGTGTAAGTGTAAGTGTAAGTGTAAGTGTAAGTGTAAGTGTAAGTGTAAGTGTAAGTGTAAGTGTAAGTGTAAGTGTAAGTGTAAGTGTAAGTGTAAGTGTGTGTGTGTGTGCGTGCTGTGTGTTCGTGTGTGTGTTCGTGTGTGTGTGCGTGTTCTGGCATGTTATGTCCTGAAGCGACTCACTTCCATTCCGTGTTCTTTTCGGTCGGCCAGCATTTTTCGATTGACGTGATTTAGATATGCTGTGCGCTTGAGTATGTCTGGGTCTTGGTTTTCTCTTCAGTGGAGTTGGGTCTTCGTTTTCTCTTCAGTGCGCCGCGCGTTACCCGCCTCCCTCCCGCTCCCTCCTCTTCCGTTTCGGCAGCCCTAGGGAGCTCTGACACTCCCCGTGTCCCTCAGGGAGTTCCACCCCCAAATTGACACACACACACACACACGCACCTCACGCGTTTCGCGCCCTACACAGAACCCTACCTCAGGGGACACAGTCGCATGCGCTACCACTCCCCATTGGTGCGGATCGTGCCCGCACGGAGAGCCCCATCTACTGCCTGAATGCTACAGTCAGGACGCTGAAATAAGGACCGCTTTGGGCTTAGGAGGGGCTCAGGTTTTCGGGCCGTTGTTTAGACTTCTGCAGCGGAACCTGTTCATGACCTAGGCCCGCCGTGGCCTTAAAAGCCCTTTCGTCCCTTATATTATAACGCGTTGTTTTATGGTAGCACAGCGACTGTACCACCGCCCAGTTCGGCATACATTTCACGCGGATCATCCCCCCCACAGGGTGTCCCACCTACGGCCTCAGAGTTCGCGATCGCACGCGCGACCATTGCCAGAGTTCGGTGCACCCCTCACGCGGATCATGCTCTTACAGGGAGCCAGGGAGCCCACCAAGGGCATCAGTGGGCGCGACCGCGTGCGCCCCTCACGCGGATCGCGCCCCCACAGGGAGCCCCACCTACCGCCCCAGTGGGAGCGATCGCATGAGCCACAAGCGCTCAGCTCGGCACACCTCTCACGCGGAACGTGCCACCTCAGGGAGCTCCTACGGCCTCCGCGGAGGGGGAGCACACGGGCTCCCCCTGGCAATTCTTGGTATCCCGCGGGGGTGGCCGGGACGGCCGCTCATGCCGAACCTTCTCGGCTGGAGCACTCCGCAGGCACTCCACACGCGCTCCGGCGCTCGACTGCTGGATTTTTGGCACCCGAGGCTGTGGCGCCCTCGCAGGCAAGGCGTGTGAGTTTGTCTGTGTGCGTATGCGCGCATGCGGGTGCGATGCCGGTGCGCTTGCGTCGCAGGCGATGCTCTGGGGGCCCGGCCGCCGCGCGCACTTTCTCCGCCTCGTCGCCTCGTGCGAGGCTGCTACCGTTAGACAGTGTGTGTGTGTGTGTGTGCAAGGGGAGGTCGTCGTCGCCTCGCCGCCAGCTTCAACTTCCCTGCCAGTGCCTCATGGCTTGCGGCATGGGTAATCGTATCAATGTCGGCAGCTGACGGTATGTTTTGATTTGCTTGAGCCAGTCAGTTGTTCAATGCCAGTTGTGTGCCTTTGATACTCAATGTTGGTCCAGGTTGCGAGGAGTTCTTCGTTCGCGGTCATGTCTATACTCGTCACGATCTTGCAGGTCGTATGGGTTGCGATAGACACCGACCGCAATCACAATGTGAATGTATGGGACAAGCCGCCGTTCGACCAAGCCGTCGACCTTTCTTTCTTGATGTACTTCGCGATCGATTTGATCATGGTATCCTGTACGTTCAAATCCTTGCGGGCATGCTTCTCGAGCTTACCGTGGTGTTTTGACGCTATATGTGTATCTGGGTCCACGCTTGAGGCTCCGGCGATGCGCTTTATTCCGTTGCAGTGCTATTGTAACCATGAGAGTGCATTGAAATGAGTGTCAGTATCGACCCAACTCGGAATTGTGCCTTTTTTCTTTGAGCTGGGGGCATCCATACCTCGGGGCGCTGTTACGTTCGTTTTCGTCCTCGTTGGCCAAAGGCTGGTCTTCCAGGTGCCGTTATGCTGCTGTTGCACTGCTGTTGCATTCGACGCGCTCAGAACGAAGCCCCGATTCTCAGATTGCAGCTATCGAGTCAACGGGCTCGCACCAGTAGTTGCTCAATATGTTGTGGATTCCATCGGCGGGTTCGGGGAACCTCTGCCTTCCAGGAAAGTTATTGGATCCATGTCGGTTCCAATCCCAAGCGCATGACGTCGCATAGCAAAGGCCTGAATACCATGGCTTGTGTGACTGCGTGCACCTATGGCAACCCATGGCAGCTCTAGGATTAGAGTGCTATTCTCTTGCTGTCCAATCAAATCTCCATCGCCGTACAAAGCCGCTGCATCGCCAGGTCCTCATCTTTCCGGCACTCGCAGTGCTCTTCGACCGACGGCGAGATTGGGCTGGCTTCGGAGCACTCCGAGCCCTCCGGCTTGCCAAGGTGCTTGGGGCGTGTGTCGCTTGACATTCACGTGGCATTTTGCCTGCGTCGCTCTTTCCAAATGGTTTACCGTATTTAACTTTCCGTTCGCCATAAAGGTCTTTGGCATCGGGGTTTAGGTGGCATCGATGACTCTAGATTTTCATTTGGATGCTGCAGTGCACGCGCATACTGTCCCACGCAGTGCTTGCACGGGCATGGCCGGCTTCTCTGTGCAGACACACGGTGATGATATCAGACAGGCACGATTGCGCCGGCATGGTCCGCGCGAATTTCTCGGATCGGCGCTGGATCCCCCTTCTTGGCGCGTTGAGCGCGCCAGGGGCGGCGCCAGAGGCGCCGCCAGGGGGCCCCAGCGCCGATCCGAGGAAGTCGCGCGGACCTCCAAGTTCTTATGCTTATGTTTTTGTTTGTTCCAAATAAGTTTGTGAGTGTTTCATGTGGGGTCCTACCGTGACGGTACGGCCCCACAGGAGAGTGCAGAGGCTCTCTTCCCGTCTCCTCATCGCCTTTCTCCTTCTTCGCCCTGGTGGTGGCCCTCTTCCCACCACCTGCTCTGCCTCCTCCTCGTCCTCCTGCCTCTGCGCTCCGATCCACCTCCCCCCCCGCTCGTTTAGCAAGGGCACGCACAACGATCACAACGATTTTCCTTGGCGACGTTGCCACCACGGCTGGCACGGGCGCGTTCTCCGATGGTCAGATCGCGAAACCGCTTGGACAACCCCGTGGGCCAGCCCGTTGGGACAACCCCGCGGGCCGCTGGGGCGCGGGAGCAATTAATTCATTGGGACAACCCCGCGGGTCTCGAGCTAGTCGCGTCCGCGCTCAGGCGGGAGGCAGTGCGACGCCCAGCTCTGCCGCGAGCTCCTCCGCCTCAGCCCTGGAGCTCGCCGCTTCGCTGTCGAACTCCTTGAGCGCTTTCCGCAGGGAAGCTGGCGGCCCGCGCCCCAGGATTCTCGCGTGGGCGGCCGCAGGATCAGCATGTTCTGCTGCATGCGCTTCTTCGCCATTCGCTCATGGACGAGGCTCCCGCTCGAGATTGCCGCCGCACTCGAGCCCAGGAACGACGACCGAGCAAACCGAAAAAAGGTTACGTCGCCGTGGAGGTACCAGTGGACAGCGCCGCGCTGCCTACGACGAGCACGAGTAAGGCCGCGCCTTATACGACGTTTTTGTTAGTTTGTTTGTTTTTTTGTTACCTAACAGCGAAGACTGATAGGTTTCTAGTAGGGTCAAAAGAGAGCATCATGACTCCCCAGGGGGGTCCGGGCAGGATCCGGGGGGATGCCAGGGAATTCGTTTTAAGCATACAGTAACGCACTTCGGGGTCTTCGAGTTCCCAGAACTCCATTCATGGGCATGATTTTGAACGCCCGGAGCCAACTGTAGGCCACTTCGTGTTCTTCGTGCTCCCAGAACACCATTCCGGGGCCACATTTTGAATGCCCAGAGCCAGCTGTAGGACACTTCGTGTTCTTCGTGTTCCCAGAACACCATTCCCGGGCCACATTTTGAATGCCCAGAGCCAACTGTACGCCACTTCGTGTTCTTCGTGTTCCCAGAACTCCATTCCTGGGCATGATTTTGAATGCCCGGAGCCAGCTGTAGGCCACTTCGTGTTCTTCGTGTTCCCAGAACTCCATTCCCTGGCCACATTTTGAATGCTGAGGCAGGCTGATGCTGAGGCTGAGGCAGGCTGAGGCTGAGGCAGGCTGAGGCTGAGGCCGAGGCTGAAGGCAGACTGAGGCTGAGGCTGAAGCAGGCTGAGGCTGAGGCTGAGGCAGGCTGAGGCTGAGGCTGAGGCAGGCTGATGCTGAGGCAGGCTGAGGCTGAGGCTGAGGCTGATGCAGGCTGAGGCTGAGGCAGGCTGAGGCTGAGGCCGAGGCTGAAGGCAGACTGAGGCTGAGGCTGAAGCAGGCTGAGGCTGAGGCTGAGGCAGGCTGAGGCTGAGGCTGAGGCAGGCTGATGCTGAGGCAGGCTGAGGCTGAGGCTGAGGCTGATGCAGGCTGAGGCTGAGGCAGGCTGAGGCTGAGGCCGAGGCTGAAGGCAGACTGAGGCTGAGCTGAAGCTGGCTGAGGCTGAGGCTGAGGCAGGCTGAGGCTGAGGCTGAGGCAGGCTGATGCTGAGGCAGGCTGAGGCTGAGGCTGAGGCTGATGCAGGCTGAGGCTGAGGCAGGCTGAGGCAGGCTGAAGGCAGACTGAGGCTGAGGCTGAAGCAGGCTGAGGCTGAGGCTGAGGCAGGCTGAGGCTGAGGCTGAGGCAGGCTGATGCTGAGGCAGGCTGAGGCTGAGGCTGAGGCTGAGGCAGGCTGAGGCTGAGGCAGGCTGAGGCTGAGGCCGAGGCTGAAGGCAGACTGAGGCTGAGGCTGAAGCAGGCTGAGGCTGAGGCAGAGGCAGGCTGAGGCTGAGGCAGGCTGATGCTGAGGCAGGCTGAGGCTGAGGCTGAGGCTGATGCAGGCTGAGGCTGAGGCAGGCTGAGGCTGAGGCCGAGGCTGAAGGCAGACTGAGGCTGAGGCTGAAGCAGGCTGAGGCTGAGGCTGAGGCAGGCTGAGGCTGAGGCTGAGGCAGGCTGATGCTGAGGCAGGCTGAGGCTGAGGCTGAGGCTGATGCAGGCTGAGGCTGAGGCAGGCTGAGGCTGAGGCCGAGGCTGAAGGCAGACTGAGGCTGAGGCTGAAGCAGGCTGAGGCTGAGGCTGAGGCAGGGAGGCTGAGGCTGAGGCAGGCTGAGGCTGAGGCTGAGGCTGAGGCTGAGGCTGATGGCTGGCTGAGGCTGAGGCTGAGGCAGACTGAGGCTGAGGCTGAAGCAGCTGAGGCTGAGGCTGAGGCTGAGGCTGAGGCTGAGGCTGAGGCTGAGGCAGGCTGATGCTGAGGCAGGCTGAGGCTGAGGCTGAGGCTGATGAGGCTGAGGGCTGAGGCTGAGGCAGGCTGAGGCTGAGGCCGAGGCTGAAGGCATATTGAGGCTGAGGCTTAAGCAGGCTGAGGCTGAGGCAGAGGCAGGCTGAGGCTGAGGCCGAGGCTGAAGGTAGACTGATGCTGAGGCTGAAGCAGGCTGAGGCTGAGGCTGAGCAGGCTGAGGCTGAGGCAGGCTGAGGCTGAGGCTGAGGCAGGCTGAGGCTGAGGCTGTGACTGCGACTGCCGTTGCCACTGCGACTGTCATCGCGAATGCGACTACGACTGCGAGAACAGCAGAATTCTACAACTGGATTCGCATCTGAATATTAAGGGGAATGCTTCCAGATATGCTCCTACGCATCGCTGTTAGGTTGCTTTGCCAGGATACATTGTTTTTGTTTGTTGTTGTTACCTAACAGCGAAGGCTGATAGGTTTCTAGTAGAGCATCATGACGCCCCGGGGGGGTCTGGGCAGGATCCGGGGGGATGCCGGGGAATTCGTTTTAAGCAAACAGTAATGCACTTCGTGGTCTTCGAGTTCCCAGAACTCCATTCATGGGCATGATTTTGAATGCCCGGAGCCAACTGTAGGCCACTTCGTGTTCTTCGTGTTCCCAGAAAACCATTCCCGGGCCACATTTTGAATGCCCGGAGCCAACTGTAGGCCATTTCGTGTTCTTCGTGCTCCCAGAACACCATTCCGGGGCCACATTTTGAATGCCCGGAGCCAGCTGTAGGACACTTCGTGTTCTTCGTGTTCCCATAACACCATTCCCGGGCCACATTTTGAATGCCCGGAGCCAACTGTAGGCCACTTCGTGTTCTTCGTGTTCCTAGAACACCATTCCCAGGCTACATTTTGATTGCCCGGAGCCAACTGTGAGGCTGAGGCTGAGGCAGGCTGAGGCTGAGGCAGGCTGAGACTGAGACTGAGGCAGGCTGAGGCTGAGGCTGAGGCTGATGCAGGCTGAGGCTGAGAGACTGACGCTGCGGCTGAGGCAGGCTGAGGCTGAGGCCGAGGCCGAGGCAGGCTGAGGCTGAGGCTGAGGCAAGCCGAGGCAGGCTGAGGCTGAGGCTGAAGCTGAGGCAGGCTGAGGCTGAGGCTGAGGCTGTGGCTGAGGCTGAGGCAAGCTGCGGCTGAGGCAGGCTGAGGCTGAGGCTGATGCAGTCTGAGGCTGAGGCAGGCTGAGGCTGAGGCTGAGGCTGAGGCAGGCTGAGGCTGAGTCTGAGGCCGAGGCAGGCTGAGGCTGAGGCTGAGGCAAGCCCAGGCAGGCTGAGGCTGAGGCCGAGGCTTAGGGCAGACTGAGGCTGAGGCTGAGGTTGTTGCTGAGGCTGAGGCAAGTTGCGGCTGAGGCTGAGGCTGAGGCTGAGGCAGGCTGAGGCTGAGGCTGAGGCTGATGCAGGCTGAGGCTGAGAGGCTGACGCTGAGGCTGAGGCACGCTGAGGCTGAGGCTGAGGCCGAGGCAGGCTGAGGCTGAGGCTGAGGCAAGCTGAGGCAAGCCGAGGCAGGCTGAGGCTGAGGCTGAAGCTGAGGCAGGCTGAGGCTGAGGCTGAGGCTGTGGCTGTGGCTGAGGCAAGCTGCGGCTGAGGCTGAGGCTGCTGAGGCTGAGGCAAGCTGCGGCTGAGGCAGGCTGAGGCTGAGGCTGATGCAGGCTGAGGCTGAGGCAGGCTGAGGCTGAGGCTGAGGCCGAGGCAGGCTGAGGCTGAGGCCGAGGCAAGCCGAGGCAGGCTGAGGCTGCGGCAGCGAGAACAGCAGAATTCTACAACTGGATTCTCACCTAAATCTTAAGGGGAATGCTTCCAGATATGCTTCTACACATCGCTGTTAGGTTGCTTTGCCGGGATATTTTTGGTGTATTGTTTTTTTTTGTTTTCTTATTTTCGGGATCTACATGGATGTATATGCATATATACATACATGTATATATATTCACTCACGTATATATATATATATATATATATATTATATAACGAGCCGCATGGCTACGACAACCGCCAGTGCTGTAGGGGCACCCAAAACGTGGAACACTACGACTTGGCAGTCGACGACTTTGATTCGGAATTCGGGGACTACGAAGAGAGTGTGCCCTCTGAGTTGGCCACCAGGCGAC